CTTCTCGGCTCTTTTTTTTTTTTTCCCTGTCTTTTTTTTTTTTTCCTTCCCCCCCACTCCGTTAAAAGCCGAGCTGCCCAACCTCTCATTCCCAACCCTGCCGGGACTTGGCTGTCGCGATGTACAACACGGTGTGGGATATGGACCGCGATGACACGGACTGGAGGGAAGTGATGATGCCCTATTCCACTGAGCTGATATTTTACATTGAGATGGACCCTCCAGGTAGGGAGCCGAAGCCTGGGTGCTGCCGTCCATCCCCGCCCTCCCTCCTCCTGCACACTTTTCCCTTTTGAAATAAAAGGAGAGGGGGAGGGGGGGGGAATTAATATCTGTTAGTTTAACTTTGCGTAAACTTTCCAGGGACTTGAGCTCGCTGTCTCCTGGGCTAAAGTATTTTGATACTGGGGGTTTTTTTTGGGGGGGGAGGTGGGAGGGTAACAGCGATTTATGATGCCTTTGGGGAGATGGAAGGAGGCAGGAGGAGGAGAGCTGCTCGCAGCCCCTCTCCCGAGTCTCCTTTTTTTAAAGCCTTTATTGAAAAGCGTATATTTCGGATGTATTCGCTCCTAGAGGAGCGCTTTTATTATCCTCTTCACCTGTGTGCCTTTATGTGCCTGTAACACTTTGATGGTGGTGATTTACCCACCTCCATTCAGTTCCAGTTTAATCGCTTTTACAGTCTCCGAGACCCTTTTCTCCCCAGCTCTCTTCCAGCATTGACAGATGAGGTGTGTGCTGTCGCTGGGTTTTGGTGCTGGGGGGATAATACTTGGGAACAGACTGCAATCCATCCCTGGAGGCACTGTTACTTTGATAACACTTAATAACCTTGTTCAAAAGGGTTCGATGCAACTTTTCCCCACACACGCTCCCCCACCCCCATGGATTGCCAGTGCTGAAAATGGGGAAATGCATTGTCCCTCCTTTGCCTGAAGTTTGTAGATGGGACAGAAAGTTTCTTTTGTGTCTAAAGAGTGAGGGAAGGCTTATGAGGAGGAGGAGGTGGAGGAGGAGAGGGTGAGTCTTTCTTTGGTAAGGAATTAAAGTAAGGCTAAATGGGTACTGGTGAAACTGTATCTGTACCTGTAAGAGTCAAACAGGCTGAAAGCAGTAAGGTAATTGAAGGGCCTTTATCTTCTCAGGACTCTGATCTGTACAGCCAGAAGGTACAGTAAAATATGCACCAAAAATCTTAGCCTGCAGAGGAATTGATAGCAAATAAGTACTTCTAAGTGGTGTCTTCTGTGGGGTATGTACTTTCAAAATATTCTTTTCAACCTGTGCCTCAATTGTGGCATGTATCTGCAAGTGTGGTTTAGTCTCTTTGTTTCAGCACAGTGAGCTGTATTTTGCTCTCTGGAGGTATGTGGTACTTTAATTAAAAAGAGGAGGAGGTGATCATCCTGAGATTTTTGGATCTCAAGGACTTGCTTCCTCTGGTAACTCTGACGCTTTGAAAACTGGGCAGATCTCTCAGAAACACAATACTGGCCACTAGTCATTAAATTCTTACATAGCTGACACTACCTATTTTTAGATGTTGCTCCTGAAAGCCTAAAGTTCAGTCAAATCTGTTTTCTTTTGTGAATTTCAAAGGATATCTTTCCTGCAAATGCTTTTGATTCTGAGGTTAGTATTTGTATGTGCTTGTATCAAGTGAACAAATACCTAAGTCCCATTGTAGGTGGCTTAAAGCAATTGGTGTGAGGTTTTTATGAAAAAAACATAAAGCCCCTTGAATGGTTTAGTGCAAAGAGGCTGCTAAAAAGGGCTGGCCTAACTGAACTGGTCAGAAAACAACTTTCCAGTGTTTCTGCAGGAATTTGGCCATGCAAAATTCTTAGGAAGCCTTACAAAGTTTACATTAAGAAGCAACTCTCCTATCGTTAATAATGTCAGTATGTCCATCATTGAAGCCCTCTTGTCAGGGATCAAGGCTCTGCACAGTCCAAACACCAGTTAGCAAAAGGACTTAATGTTACAGGCTGATCCCTGGAGTGCTCAGTAACTTTATCTTTCATATTTTTAAACTGGAAGAGCCAGAGCTGGAAATGATGTGGGGGATAATCCCCGTGTGTATGTCCTGATTTCGTAGAACTACAACTTTTAAATTGCAGGGGGAGGGAGGGAAGGAGAGTGTGTGGCAGAGGGGCTCTGCTTTTTCCCTGTCCAGAGGTGGGGTGGGAAGGCGTTTTCCGCTCTGGGATGATAGGTCATCCCTAAGGGGAGCGTGGAGGAATTTATTTGGAAGGCTTAAACATTCGGCATGCCTTGGGATAAAGTCGCTGCGCTTGCACCCGGTAACAACCACAGCTCCACCTGGCCCACTTCCAACAAAAATTTTGTGGAGGTTTTCGGTGCAGCGTTCCCCGGAGCTCCGGAGCAGCTGAGCGGCGGCGAGATGTTCCCTCAGCAGCAGCGCACGAACCGGCGATGTGCAGCACAGCTCTTTTGTTCCCAGAACTTGCCTTTGGAGAGAGATCCCTTTTCGGTTGGGCTTTATGCCGCAGCACCGGGCACTGGCGGATTCCGGGAGCCAAGTGTCTGGGATCACGCATGACTGCTCGTGATTACATTTTACTGCGTCTAAACTTCGGGCAGAAGACAAAAGCAAGGTGAACATAATGCGCGGTGTCACCCGTAACCTCCGAGGCAAGGGTGGGGATACTGTTTCTTGTTAAGGGCCGGTAGACCTTTAATTTATCTTGGCAGGCTCTCTTAATACCCACCTTAGCGCTGCCCAATAATAATGCAGAAATAAAATCTGGTGATGGCAGGCAGCCTGCAGCGCAGCCGGAGCTTCTGTCAGGCCTCAGTGCACCTGCACCAGCTTATCAGTGGGCTCGTGTTTGCTGTTCAGGGCTGTAGGTGTAAATGGATGTTCGGAGCAGGTCCTGGAGCCTCTCTGCTGGAAGGGCTCGCTTGAAAGTTCAAAAATAACAATAATGCCTCTCACACACGAGTTTTCCCCGATTCTAGCAGAGGCAGGGCCAGGGCGACAAAGGATTGCAAGCTTTCTGATAGCCTTTAATCCATCCTAAACGCAGGAGTGGGACAGTTCTCCCAAACGGAGTGGTGGAACTAGGGATTCACCTCTACCAGCTTCACAAAGCAAAATTTAAAGCAGTACAAGTAACGCTGGAGCCACAGTGATGAAAACCAGCAGGGTGACTCCTGTTACCTAATGGTTTTTCCCTCTGCTTATGTTTCATTTTGCATTTATACATTCGTCACTGGCATAAGGTAGGACCTCTCTGTGGCAAATAATACTACATGCAACAAATAACGTTCATTATCTAAAGACACAGCTGGAACCATCAGTTGCATAGAGCTAACATAGCTCCTCAACTTTCCAGTGATGGATGAAGTTAGAGTATTATGGCCATAGCAGCATCATGTGCTGGGTTCTGGCATTAGGAAACTGTCTGTTGGGGGTTCATTCACATGTTTGTCCTTCCCATGGGTCTTGCTGTCTGAAAAGACAAGAAAATAGGTTATTGGATTGAATTTAGTTTTTATTTCAGGTCTGCAAAAGTTCATTACTGCCGGAAGTTAAGTTTTTGAACAGAGGATGTCAAATTGACTGCAAAAGTTACTGGAGGACCTCAAGCACCACTACCTATGTATTGTCTAACTTCTAATCAGTAGGACTAAGTAATGTCTTTTTCTCTGTAGATCTGGGATATATTATCAGTTGTGTTGATGATAAAATGTGTAATCACTGAATACATTTTGTCACAGTTGGATGAAAATCAGTAAGAGTGCTCCACTGGGATTTCTGATACAGATGTCAGTAAAGATATTTGGCTCAACTACAAATTAGAGGTTAGTTTCATTTGTGTGGATTATGAAGAAAACCACAAGTTTAAAGTAGGCTTCCTAATGCAGAATGGGCTCTGTCTGTCTATGACTAAATAGTACAATAACCATTTGACCTAAAGCTATAGGAAAGTTGCCTTTTTGGAGCCCATTAGACCCAAATATGACCAACTATGTTTGTAACTTGATCCAGCTGTCTTTTTCAAGAATATTACTTTTCCTTGCCTGATGTGCTGAGACTGGCTGTAACAATGCTGTTGCTACAAAATCTTTTGATAATTAAGGGGGGGAGGGCAACAATAGTCTGTAAGCTGCTTGATTTAGTCTACTTTGTAAAAGCAGCACTGCCAGTGTATGAGTGAGACGAGTATTCAAGAGAAAAACTGTATTTATTCATTATAGTTTCTATTTTCTTCTCATATATAATTTGACAACCCTTATTTTAGGGGAGTGATACTATAATTGTAATTTGGAAAACACAGGGTTCCGAGCTCCAGGGCAGTGTTTACTGGGATACCAGGCGTGCTGTATCATTATCAATGTTACAGTGGAAACTGAGTGTGGCTTCTCAATTAGGGTGTGTGGTACACAGTAGCCAGATGTAGGTGAACACTGCGTGTCTATGCCTGACTAGTTTTCCAGTGGGAGAACAGATGCAAATTTTAATAGCACTGTCAGTATTGTCCTTCAGCTTATCTGAAGCTGACTCCAGAAGCTTATCAAAGAAAAGTTCTGCTCTTGCACATCTTAAAGAGGAAAAAAAAAAAAAAGCTAGTTCTACTAGTGCATGTAATCAAGACAGCAGCACTGTAGCTGCAACTGTCTTTTTTTGCTAATTTAGGTCTTGCTGAAAATCACATTTCAAAGAAAGTAGATGTTTAGGGTTGAGAGATGCCTTATTACAGACAGGAAGTTTGTGCAGGCTGGTTTGGGGTAGAGGAGGGAGTAAATTAGGCTCAGTCACTTTATTTCTGCACATCCTAGAAAATCCTAGTTTGATTGGAGTCTCAGCTTCTATGAGGACAGTGATGTGAAATGCTTATATTCTCTTCTTTTTATGCCTAGTTTTCTCTGCTGGCCTTTTCACTTAATGACTGCTGTAACCATTTTTTATTTCTGATTGCATTTCAGGCTTGCTTTTGCATTCCTTGCATTTCGTTTTCATTTTGATGGCTCTAACTGTTAAAGAATATCACTCATCAGGTTTCAATTAAATACATGAACACAAAAAATAGCATCATTAATATAAAGTGAAATGGTGTTTTGCTTGAGATGAGAGAGCCTGCTTTAAAAGGCCAACTTTTGTGTTTATCAGTAGGCTTTCACATGATGTAGAAATAGTTGGGGAGGGAAAGCTTGCTGAAGGGAGTTGTTCAGTTCTGTGTTCTGTAAAGCTGTAGGCT